GGTGCTCTATTTGACTGGCCAATCACAGAGCGTGAAGACAGTCAGTTACCCAATGAGGATTTTCCTTCAGCACGATTACAGATATTTACGATTTTTACTCGTTTCACTTGTCAAAAATGCTTTATCCGTACCGGATACTCTTCTGAAACGAGTATCCGGCTCATCCCTAATCCAAACAGTCAGAATTGAAAACACAACCTAAACATGATGTCATGACATTAACTAATAAAAGCATGTTTCTTTTTTTTTTTTTTTTTTGTTACAGACATGGATCAACAGGATTTAACCTCTAAGAAATTCAACCGAAAGATTTGGAGCAAATCTGGGAAAGAAGCGGTTTGGCAACAGCTTGGTCGGTACATCACTCTTGAAAGAGTTCCTGGTAAAATGCTGTGTGTGAAAGCACTCAGTACAGAGACAGCACTTTAGAACAGAAGTTGGGAAGATGTAAAAAACTGCATCTATAACCACATCCCTGATCAAAAAAGAAAAAGGCTGTAGTTTTTGCGTTAAAAGCAGCAGGAGCTGAGTTAATGCATGTAATGTTACAAGCAGAGCATTTAATGATACCTAGTTATTTTTATTTTATGAGACATTGGAAATATGTTAAAAACTATAATTATAACAGCATTGCAGATCAAAAATGTTACAAGCAGAGCATTTTATGGTACCTAAAGATATTTAAATTTTATTACATGTTGGAAAGATGTTAAAAACTATAAGTAGAACAGCATCACAGTAGCATTGCAGGGATTAATCGTTTTGACTATTAACCCTGGTTAACCCCAAGTAAATAGATCTTCAACACCATCAAACTAAAACAAAAAGACAATAGCGTAACTCGTAAGTACAAAAACAAAACTGAAACTGAACACGCGCCCGCAGCAGAAGCATGATCAGTGAAAACAACCATCGGGACTCCTCCATTTCTACCTCGGAAGAGGTTGAATTCTCCTGTGTGGGAATAGTTTAGATATATTAGATATCATCCCACACAGGAGACTTCAACCGCTTCTTAGGTGGAAATGGAGGAGTCCCGAAGGTTGTTGTCACTGGTTCTGCTTCTGCTGCGTGAACACGTTCAGTTTCACTTTTGTCTTTGTCCATGAGGGTCATGCCATAGTCCTTTTTTTATTGTTGGTGTGGTAGACATCTTTAAGGGGGGTTATCAGGGGTTAATAGTCAAACTGGTTAATCTCTGCAAGCCTACATCACAGCTCAAAAAAGAAAAAAAACTGTAGTTGATATGTTTTATTTTAAAAGCAGCAGAAGCTGAGTTAATGCATGCAATGTTAAATGCAGAGCATTTAATGGTACCTAAAGTTGTATTAATTTATTAGAAGTTAGAAATATGTCAGAACTACTAGTAGAGCAGCATCACAGCTCAAAAAGAAAATAAAAACAATATTTGAAAATTTTCTTTTTCAAAGCAGAAGGATCTGAGTTCATTTATGTAATTTTATGCACCGTGTTTACTTTATTTGGTATCTAAAATTTATATTTTATCAGCAGATGAATTAGAAAGATTTTAAAAACTGCATGTATAACTGCATTTTAGCTCAAAAAAGAAAAAAGTAAACATATTCAATTTTAAAAGAAACAGGAGCTGAGTTCATATATGTATGTAATGTTTAAAGGTGCCTAAAGTTTATTTTAGTTCAACTGTTGCAGTCACAATTGCAAAGTTTAATGAAATCCTTTTTACTTCAATAAAATAACTACTTTGTAGTAATTTCTGTCATGTTTCCTGTTATTTATGTTCTGTAACTAAGATTTACAGGGAGCTGCACGGCTGAATGCAGTTTGAATCCAGCTTAGTCTTTATGGTGGTTGCATATTTTTCCTATGTATGTCTGGGTTCCTCCAGGATAATTTGATACCTTTCACCATCCAAAATCATTCTATGTTTATTAGTCGATGAGCCGATACCAATATTTGATATTAATATCACTGCTTCTGCAGTACTGCAGACGTTGTACCGATCTGTCGTGGTGAAGAGAGAGCTGAGCCAGAAGGCAAAGCTCTCGATTTACCGGTCGATCTATGTTCCTACCCTCACCTATGGTCATGAGTTTAGGGTAGTGACTGAAAGAACGAGATTGCAGATACAAATGGCCAAAAATAGTTTTCTCCGCAGGGTGGCTGGGCTCTCCCTTAGAGACCCGCTGCTCCTCCACATCGAGTGGAGCCAGTTGAGGTGGCTAGGGCTTCTGGTTAGGATGCTTCCTGGACGCCTCCCTGGTGAGGTTTTCCGGGCACGTCCAACCGGGAGAAGGCCTAAAGGAAGACCCAGGACACGCTGGAGATACTATGTCTCATGGCTGGCCAGGGAACGCTTTGGGATTCCCCCGGAGGAGCCGGCCCAAGTGGCTGGGGAGAGGGAAGTCTGGGCTCCCTTGTTTAGGCTACTGCCCCCACGACCCAACCCCGGATAAGCGGACGACAATGGATGGATGGATGGATGATATCACTGTTATGGCCGATAGCTGATATTTGCTGATACAGATATACTGACATGCTTCTAAAATAAGCAAATTTTGTACTGATTGAAAATTATTAAAGCTGAATTTACGTTGTTATGTACACACACCACACACATTTACGCTTATGAGAATATTAAAATAACTGTCACATGGCTAAACAAATACACACCACCCCCCTAACCATCTGAAACAGATAAACAAATGGAAACAAAATGGAAAAAAAATATTTGTTGTTAATATTGACCAAGTTTTATTTATCGGACCAATACCAATATGTTAAAAATAACTTATTGATGCAGATTGTGCATCCCTAATGTTGATGATTGTCTGTCCTTTTAGTTTGCAGCATTTGTGTGGTGCCTCGATGAACTGTTACCTGCTCAGACTTCACCGCACAACTTGGAATAGGGAATTACAGAAAAAATCCTTATCTAATATTATTTAAGCTAAATCCTGGTGAAGGTTCTCTGAAATGCAGTTTGTGTTATTCCTTGTAGATTTGGGTTGAGGCAACTGAGTTGTTTTGGTTATTTGAATATGTTTCACTTCTTATTTGAGGAGCTTTGTCAATTCTGACCAGAATAAGGAGAGGGATAAGCTCCAAAATCACACTACAATACTTGGGCTTGATGCTCCACTCATTCCACTTTAATATTACAAAGCTCTTTGGATTAGAAGCAAAACATTTTGAAAGTATAAAGAAAATCTAGCAACTTACACACTCAAACAAGAAAATAATTAAGCTAATATATTTTATTTTTTCTTAAGAAAAACTAAACAAAAATTTTAAACTGATAGAGTACTTTATAGGCAAACAAAAGCTTCTCTGTGATTCAAGATGTTAAAATTTTACTTTGCTATTGCCAATTTGATAATAAACAAGTGTTACATATTTGTAAAAACAGTTTGATTAGTTAAAATTGCTTTGAAAGTTTAAGAATTTTTAATTTTTCATGTGGAAATTTAATCAAAAATTGGTTAGGGAGGAAATACAGAATTGTGAGGACATCACCTAATCTGCCTAGCAACGGTTGTGGGTCCTCACAAGTACACCAAATAAATATTTTTTTTACTTTGATTTTTCAACAATTTGAAGTGAGATTCTGACTCTTCACTCACATCTAGTGTCAGATTTTCATGGCCCAACACTACAGCTATGCAGGAAGTGGATGTCCTCACAAAGATAGGTAGGGTCAGTGTCCTCACAAGTATATATATACATGTGTGTGTGTGTGTGTGTGTGTGTGTGTGTGTGTGTGTGTGTGTGTGTGTGTGTGTGTATAGGTCAGCGCAGCCTAGCAGACTCCAGCAGTCTCCTTCTGTTTGGGTTAAGATTAGGAAACAGTGAGGTTCGGCATGGCACTGAGAAACGGCCATATCTCACTCAGCCACCGGGGGGGGGGGATAACTGAATCTTCAACATTTAAATTCCATTTAGACACTAAGAAACAGCCAAATCACTCAGTAAAGCCAAATGAACATTCATCATCTAAATCCTATTTATAAAATAAATTTTGGTGTGTAAGAAAGATTTATTAGACTTTATCATGTTTTCTGGAATCTGAGTTATGAAATGCTGTCAAGATAATACTGTATGCCCCATCAGTAAAACAAGAATTTGGTCATTGACAAAAATTTACTATTTGATGTGTTCAGCAATAAGTCTATTCATTAATTGGTTTAAATTTTACCAATATTAAATGTTTCAGTCAGAAACTACATAACTTAATTTCTCCAGTTCAGGGGCGGCGTTAGGCCCGGCTACTTGGGCTCAAGCCCTGAATGTTTCATGAAAAGACTAGTGTGTGTTACGTGTGTGTGACTGTTCTTATTCTGACCCCTAACCTGAGGTGGATTTGACACCAGCAGCTCAGGATCCAACCCATCCACCATGGAAAGGTCACCATTCAGCAGATGTTTGTTTTTGAGAGATTATAATCCAAACGTTTTATTTATTCATTTATTTATTTGTTGCTTTTTATCATATTTATTTTTATATATTTCTTTATTTAGGGTTGTTTTTTGTTTGTTTTGATTTTTGTAAATCTTTATTCTGTTTTGAGCATTTGACGTCTTCCTTTTTTCAGCAGCCCCCTCATTGTTCTCCACCTCTAAAGGGCTCTCCCATATGATGTATTTTCTGTCTCCTGTCCACACCTGTCCTGTTTAAGACGTCAGCTGATCTAAAACCACTAACAGTCATTTTAAGACACTTCATATCATCACACTACACCCTTTTCTTCTTGGATTCTCACATTCTTCTACAGCTCTACATTAAAGTTATCTACCCAATAAAGCCAACAGAACATCTACTGACCCGATTTACCTCCGCTACTGTTTATTACTACAGCAGTTGGACTCGGACCAACTTGCGTTCCTTCACTGGTGACTTATTAGATTAAACACATTAATGTGAACATAAAAAAGCCTGAAATCGAAACAGAAGCTGGACCCGATGGGCGGAGCACATGGCCTCCAGCTTTTGATATGGATGACCCTTGATCACCTGAGATGATTTTATGACGTAAATGGTTATTCATCTGTGGATTTTCTCACAGAAATTTCCTCCTCAGAAACCCAGACATGAACCTTGACAAACCAGACGAGGAACTCCAACAGGATATCTGACCTGCAACATGGATCGCTGGTTCTGGCTCGTCTTCACTTTGGGTGAGAAACCTTTAACTTCTGCAGCTGTTTCAGGACTCTGAACGTTATCGGCTAACTCAAGACTCAGCTGGTTGTCCACCCTGCACGGGTAAACATGAGCTTAGCTTGTTACCTTTTGGAGACTCAGATAAATCACAGAAACACAAAAACCTTCTCCAGCGCTGCAGGACTTTCGCTTTTCCACTGATTTCTGTATCACTCTCTATGTTTAGAATAAAACTGTTAATGTCTACAGGTCTAGACATCACAGGTATGTCATTCTGGTTTGTTTCTGGCTGATTTGAGCACAAAGAAGGTTTCTGCATCAAATGGAGACTCCAGGAATCCTGTCACTGGTTGTTGAGTGGCTAGAATTTACACATTTAAATAAAAGTCTAAGAGGAAGAGAAGCAGAAGCCTTTCACTGCCTCACCTTGAGCTCCTTAGTCATATTTATTGCTAATTAGCTAATTATCTCTCCTCAGAAACCTTCTAGCAGGGCCAAACTAATATCAACATGCTTTCTTACAGCTGTTCCTTTGGCCTCGTCAACATCTGGAGGTCAATCTACCACCTCAACAACACTTGACCCTACAACCCTTCTATATACTGGGGATTCATTAATGGCCTTAACTGGTGGCCAGACCAGAACTCCCAGAGCTTCAGCCTCTACTGAAGCATCAAAAGTTACCAGAGCTTCAGAGGGTCCAGCTGTTGTCTCAGGTCAACCAGCTTCTACCAGTGATCCATCTACCGTCACTGCACTACCACCTGAAGTTCCAACTACACCTCCAGCAACTACAGCAACTTCAGAGGATCCAACTCTTACTGTGACTGGAGACCATCCATTTTCCACCACTTTAATCTCAGATGTATCTTCTGTTACCACCTCTACTACTGGTGCCACCATCTACACTATTGCTACTTCCAATACTATCACTGATGGTGAAAATACTACAACAATTGTTCAAACAACTGCCAGTACTTTGTCACATTCTACCACTAATGCAAGGACTACAGTGGATGATTTACAGCCTACATCTCCATCTCTTGCAATCTGTTTTTGGTTTACAAATTCAAGTGGAACAACAGCTCCTCCTACAACTACAGCTCCTCCTACAACAGCTCCCCCTACAACAGCTCCTACGACTACAGAACCTCCTACTACAGCTCCTCCTACAACAGCTCCCCCTACAACAGCTCCTACGACTACAGAACCTCCTACTACAGCTCCTCCTACAACAGCTCCTCCTACAACAGCTCCTACGACTACAGAACCTCCTACTACAGCTCCTCCTACAACAGCTCCTCCTACAACAGCTCCCCCTACAACAGCTCCTCCTACAACAGCTCCTCCTACAACAGCTCCTCCTACAACAGCTCCCCCTACAACAGCTCCCCCTACAACAGCTCCTCCTACAACAGCTCCCCCTACAACAGCTCCTCCTACAACAGCTCCCCCTACAACAGCTCCTACGACTACAGAACCTCCTACTACAGCTCCTCCTACAACAGCTCCCCCTACAACAGCTCCTCCTACAACAGCTCCCCCTACAACAGCTCCTCCTACAACAGCTCCCCCTACAACAGCTCCTCCTACAACAGCTCCCCCTACAACAGCTCCTCCTACAACAGCTCCCCCTACAACAGCTCCCCCTACAACAGCTCCCCCTACAACAGCTCCTCCTACAACAGCTCCCCCTACAACAGCTCCTCCTACAACAGCTCCCCCTACAACAGCTCCTCCTACAACAGCTCCCCCTACAACAGCTCCCCCTACAACAGCTCCTCCTACAACAGCTCCCCCTACAACAGCTCCCCCTACAACAGCTCCCCCTACAACAGCTCCCCCTACAACAGCTCCCCCTACAACAGCTCCTCCTACAACAGCTCCCCCTACAACAGCTCCTCCTACAACAGCTCCTACGACTACAGAACCTCCTACTACAGCTCCTCCTACAACAGCTCCTAATACAACAGCTCCTAATACAACAGCTCCTCCTACAACAGCTCCTAATACAACAGCTCCTAATACAACAGCTCCTCCTACAACAGCTCCCCCTATAACAGCCCCCCCACAAATACAATGTCTACTAGTCATACTACAACTACTACTATTTGGACCACTGCGTCTTCTACCACTCATTGTCCAACCTCTCCACCTTTGGAGTGTTTTAATGGTGGTGTAGAAGAAAATGGTGTCTGTATCTGTCCTGATGAATGGACTGGAGAGACCTGCTCACAAGGTAAGGCCAGTCTGACTCATCTACTGTTGGTCTTTCTTCTAGATCAGGTCTATGTCCAGGTTTAGCAGAAATACTAACCAAGGAATTGTATTTATTTATAATTTTTTTTTTTCATTTTCTAAACTCAGAATTAACTATGTCATGTTTTGTTTGGACTTTGAACGTGTTTTCAAAATTTTGTAGTCAAAATGCAGCTCATCTTATAATGGACTTGCTTATTCAGAAAATTTCTGCAATGCCACCCAGTTGGGTAAATGGAAGTTTCCACGGACTCCTGGAGGCTGGTTTGCTTATTCAGAAGAAACTTGTCCAGGAGGAACGAGCGGAGGTACGTTCTTGTACAACACCCACTCAGCAGGTGGTCCCCAAAACGTTGATGTTTTTCTGACCATCTCTACCCAGAGGGCAAACCTCGGGCTTCGGCCAGATGTTTGTTGGAAGGTGTATTGCCGAGTTTCATCTCCCTACAGGAGTTTAAGTGTGACCAGACGCTCGAAGATATACAGAAAAATGTAAGAATTGCTGTGATTGTCACAGAAAGCTAAAACTAAACATTTAATGTTTGATGTAGTTGATATTATATTTTTCTCCAGCTGACATATGCAACAGATTTAGAGAATCTGGCATCCAGCACTCAGATTCTGACTTCCAAACCTGAAGAACTGACACCGCAAAAAGTTACAACAGCAGCTCAAATCGCCAACACGCTGCTCTTGTCACCAAATGCCTCACAGGTACAAATGCCAGAAGAGTCTTTGACCTCCCAGCAGCCTTTAGCTTGATGAAATCTACAAATGAGAGCTGGTTTATCCTGCTTAGATGGATTCAGAGATGCTGATTCAAAAACTATTTTAGAGCTTTTATTCATGTTTGCAGGAAGTCAGAGTGGCAGCTGTCGCTACCGTCAGCCAGCTGCTCAACCCAAGTGTGGTAGATAACGCAGTGGAAAACAACGCAACACAGGGGTAGGTAAACCAACCAACTACATGAAAACCAATCTATCAACTAACTAACTTACCAACCAATTGACTAACTAACATTATAAACCACCAACCAATCAAACAACTTACTAACCAACCAACTCAATGAAAACTAAATTGCTCAACTAACTAACCAACCAAATTACTAACGTACTGAACCATGAACCAAGCTATCAACAAACCAACCACCTATCAAACTAACTAACCAACCAACTGACTAACATACTAAATCACCAACCATACAATCAACCAACCAACCCACCATCTTTTGTTTGCTCTTGCTGTGTTTAGTTTCTAACTGCATTTTTGGTTCATTTTTAAAACACAGAAAAGGTGTCTTTATTACCTTGCTGACAGTTTCGTTTACCGGCTGTAAACTTCCTCAGAGCTGATGCTGATGGTGGCGTCACTTCCTTCTCTGTTTATCCGCGGGCAGTAGAGGACATTGTCAGCATGAGGACTGTGTCATCAGTGAAAGGATGGCAACAACATCCTCTTTACCGACTGTTCACTCCACCTCCCTGTACTCCCCCACTTGTCCAGATTTAGGCTAACATCAGATTTTAACCATAGGCCCTATCGAATAAAAATGTTGTAAGCCTAGTCTTAAAAGTAGACAAGGTGTCTGCCTCATGGACTAAAGTTGGGAGTTGGTTCCACAAGAGAGGAGCCTGATAACTAAAAGATCTGCCTCCCATCCTATTTTTAGATATTCTGGGAACCACCAGTAAACCTGCAGTTTGAGAGTGATGTGCTCGGTTAGGATCATATGGAACAATCAGGTCACTGATGTATGATGGAGCTTGGTTGTTAAGAGCTTTGTATGTGAGGAGGAGGATCTTAAAATCTATTCTGAATTTAACAGGCAGCCAGTGTAGGAAAGCTAAGACAGGAGAGATATGATCTCTCTTTTTAATTCTCATCGGAACTCCAGCTGCAGCATTTTGGACAAGCTGAAGACTTGTAACTACATTCTGTGGACTTCCTGAGAGTAATGACCAACCCAGTTACTAACTAACACACTAAACTACCAACCAACCAAATGAAAACCAATCTATCAACTCACTAAGCAACCAACTGACTAACTAACATGTGAAACCACCAACAAACCAACTAACAAGCAACCAACTAAATGAAAACTAAATTGCTCAACTAACTAACCAACCCGATTACTAAGTAACATACTAAACTACCAACCAACCAACCAACCAAATGACAACCAATTTATCAACTCACTAACCAACCAACTGACTAACTAACATACTAAACCACTAACCAACTAACCAACCAACCAACTAAAACACTGATGCAAATAGCGAGTTAGTTTTTCTAGAACCCTTTGTGTCTTAGATATTTTTAGTGAGTTATTTGACTTTTTGATTTAGTGAAAGAGTTAAAGAAATTGTGACTCAGGTAGTTAGTAGCAGGTGAGATGGCTAATCACTAAGTTGGTGTAAACCAACCAGTTTGTTGTGTTTTTGAGTCCAGCCTTACACTGACTCTAGATCAGCTCTCGTTGAACCTGAGTCTCAACACACCCAAGGCTCAGGTGGTTCAACCAAACCTGGTGATCCAGTCGGCTCAGATCCAGGCTGCAGATTCCCAGGGAGTCCAGTTCACCTCCCTCACAGGTCAGTCAGAGTCTGCATTCCTAACAACGTCAACACTATCAATTTCTCTGCTACTGATTGAGTAATTATCTACAAAATCCCACAAACCGCCAACACCGGAGTTGGTCTGTAGAGAGCCGGTGCATATCTCCACCCAGGGGGACACCCTGGACACGTCTCATGTCCATCACCTGGCCACACCAGTTACAGTATTTGAGGAGGAAATACTACAAAGCCATAATGATTCCAACAATTCTACAGACAGATGGAGTCATCATCAAACCTCTGGATAAAACCTCTGACTGTTGTGTATTTGTGCTGCTGTCAGGAGCTTCTGGCAGGTTTGTGGCTAACAGGATTCGTCTGAACACCAATGCGTCAAACGTCACCGTGGAAAACGGCTTCATCGCCGATGCACTGGTGTATGTTCGCTTCCCTCCAGGTGAGTATCCAACAGCACAGTCTGGACCAAAACACCCAGAAATCAGCTGATGGTTCAAAATATGTAAAAGCATCAGATTAAAGTCGACATTAGAGAAACTTTTCATTTGTTTGTGTGGTGTCAGGATCATCTGTCAGCAGTTATCAGAAGCCTCCCAACGTCTCTCTGGGCTTTGTCCTCTATCAGAGCAGCCGGTTCTTCCCATCGAGGCTCTATAGGAGGCGCCGGGCCACTTTCAGGGTCCTGTCTGCCAGTGTCGAGGGTCCGGAGCGCTCTATGGTTCCGCAGCATGTGGAGATGCTGTTCAGACCTGGAGTAAGATAACGAGTCAATGAAGGTTTTAATGAGCTAAACGAATCTGATTGTTCAGATGTTCCATTTAAAGCAGCAGAACCATCCGTAGAACCGAAACCGGATCCGAGACTCAGAAGAAACTGCCTGAATGTCCTTCTAGGCGGTTTCTGAAGAGATTTCATGAATCAAACCAAAGCTTTTGGTTCTAATGTTTTAGCTTCTGAATGGAACGTCTCTGCATGACTTCTCCTGCGTGTTCTGGAACTACACTCTGAGGGAGTGGAGCACCGCAGGCTGCTCCAAAGGAAGTGCTTCAGACGAGATGCTGAGATGTTTCTGCAACCATACCACCAACTTTGCTGCTCTCTGGGTGAATGTCACAGACCTGAACCAGGTGTGGATGGTGATGGAGCTGCTGTGGTAAAAGATCTGGCTTCAGTCCTACAGGCAGAACTACCAGTACGCCGAAGCTCTGGGCATCGTCTCTATCGTGGGGCTTTCTTTCTCCATCCTGGGTCTGGTTGTTGCCATCATCCACCACATTTATGAAACGTAAGATTGTGTTTGACTCCACCTAAAGGTAACAGGCTCCTCCTCCTCACAGCTTCGAAAGTAAACCCATTTAATAAACTCTGAAGGTGTTTTTGACACATGGTTCTGAGATCCAGGATGTTTCTGAGTCTCGTTTCCATGTTCTCAGCTTTCAGAGAAAGTCTCGAGAGCGGCAGACCAATCTAAACTCTACGATGTCTCTGCTGAGCATCTACATCAGCCTGCTGGCCTTCATCATCACCTTCCTCTCAGGAGTCCAGAACTCCAGCCGCCAGAGCTCCACCCCGGTGGAGCTCAGCTCTCACAACCACATCCTGGACTCTGACCTGCATGTGGAACCGGATCGAGGCTGCTGCACGGCGGTGACAGCTCTGCTGCACTTCTTCCTGTTAGCCACGTTCTCATGGAACAGCATGTATGGAACCCAGCTGGTTCTGCTGGTCCGCTCCATGCGCACCAGTCTGCCGCCATATTGGACCCGTCTGAGCGTGGGACTGGGATGGGGTACGAGGCTCAGATCCTCAGTGGCATCAGAGAGCCTCATCAAACACCAGAACCGTATGACTAGGTTAAAGCTGAGGGACATCTGGTCCAAAAGGAACCTTATTTTCAGCCTAAGTCCTTCCGTACCTGCTTGTTTTAGGAACCTTTTGGTGCCTCAGTTGAAGAAATTAATAAATATTAACATTAATGTAACAGAAGAAAGAAAATATAAAATATCTTAAACTTAAAAAAAACCTGAGCTTTAAATAATTTTCATTCTTATTTGGGGAAAAATTCAGTGAGAAAAACTTTTACAAAGTGAGTTTTTGACTCTGACAACATTTGGAGAAATAAAGTAAAACAAGATCACGGTTGCAGGGAGGAACATAAATACTTGTTTTATATGATTAATAATTAATGAATCTGAAATATTTTAAAAACTAAATCTGAATTTACTTCCTGTTCCCGGTCAGGAGTCCCAGCTGTTGCCATGGCGATCACGTTGGCAGTTACCTACAGAGTGGATAATCCTCTAGGGTACCGACAGGAGGAATTGTGGGTATCTAAAGGACTGGTTCTGTGGTTCTGTCTGCTCTCCTGTTCTGACATTTGAGCTCCTGGTTCTCCTGCTCTAGCTGCTGGCTCGCTGCTCTGGATCAGAACAAACACTTTAGCTTTGGTAAACCCATGTTCTGGGCCTTCCTGCTGCCAGTGGGTCTGGTTCTGGCCTACAACACGGTTCTGCTGGTTCTGACCTCTCTGATCAGCTGCAGGAGCGATCCCACACTGAAAAGGTAGAATCCTCTCAGAGGCAGAGGTTCTGTACAAACTTCTGAAATCTCTCAGAATTTCCCATTTTCTAAGAAAAGAAAAGAAAAGAAAAAAAACATTTCATAGGTAAAAAAACAGAAAAACACTCAAAAAGTAAATGAAAGGTCTCTTATTTGTAGTGATGATGAGTAGGAACTTACCTGTCTATCCGCCTACCTGTCTACCAGTACGAGGCGCTTGTCTCAGGCCAAGAAGTTCCTGGTCAGCTTCTCTCTGAGCGTCATGCTGGGTTTGTCCTGGACTCTTGGATACTTTGTCCTCATCACATCAGGCCCCGCCCACCTGGTCTTCAGCATCCTCTTCTGCGTCTGTACGACCACTCAGGTATTTATGGCTCCGCCCACTTTACTGGTCATCTCTGCAGAAGAAAACACATGCAGCACACCTGCATCTGCTTCTTTGCTGCTGATCATCTGGAAGTTTTTTTGTTTCAAGTTTTTAGAAAAGTTTTTTTTAACAAAATCTGTTTCTGGAAACCTAAAGTTTTTATTTTAAAGATAAAAATGTCATTCTTAAGAGGATTGACAGATTCTTTGTAATATTTTGAACAAACATAGAACTTTTTTAATTTGGTTTCAGAACTGTTTCGATTGAAAACATCAGATTTTTGCTGTTGGTCTTTGTCTCTAAGTGTTTTTGTGTCTTTGTGTTTTCAGGGCTTCCAGATCTTCATCCTCTTCACAGCCAGAACTCAGAGCTTCAAGGCCTACATGAGGAACTTGTTCCAGCACGTGTCTTCCATCAGCATCCCGTTAAACTCCACCAGTTATGATCTGGTGAAGAGGCTGAAGAAGCGCTGGTCCCCAGAGGTCCTACAAATACACCTCAGACAGCAGCATGAGGGACGAGTCCAGCTTCTGAGGAGAAACAACAGGATCAGACACCAGGGTCCAAAAGGTTATCCAGTAAAAAAGTTTCTGATCAACACAGATTTAAGAAAATATTCATCAACTTCATGTCAGAACTCACCAGATCTTTAAAACCATGTGTGCTGATTAGCTTCTGGACGCTGTTGTTTCTCCTGTTGGACCTCCAGAAACCAGAAGATCTGGTCCAGATCATCTTCAGTCAGATGTGGTCTAGTCCTGGTCTAGTCTAGACCCATGCAGTCTGGTCTGATGTGATCTGGTAATAGATGATTTTGTTATAGTTGGAATAAACCTTTATTTTCATGAAGAGCTCTTATTGCGCCGGTCCCTTTAAGGTTACTTTCATTTCCTGATTTCAGAATAAAACCACTTCCTGTTTACTGCAGAGACAAATGTTTTATACTTTTAAATTCATGTCTTTATTTCTGTAAAGGTTTCTTTCTACTTTGGATGTTTTGTGCTGAACGTGTTTGTCTCCATCCTCTCAGATGTGGCACTTTGTTTATTTTTACCAGAGGTGTGGGATCGAGTCACATGACTTGGACTCGAGTCATTATTTTAATGACTTCTGACGTGACTTGATAAGATCTATAAAGACTTACGACTTGACTCGGACTTGAACGCCAATGAGTTGCAACTTGAATTGACTTGCATCTGTTGACTTGATGATGACTTGAGCGTATTTGATATTTTAGCACAAAAGTGGCATAACATGAACAAAAATCATAATCATTCTTTCATTATGGGTTGGATCTTGTACTGCTAAATGATAAATTTATATAATTAGCATTTCATCTTTTAGTTCATTAAAGAAGTAACTCAGTTGTCTAACTCAAGTAATCCCACTGAGTTGTCCACAGAGCAGCTCAACTGTCACATTAACTCAATAAATTATTAACAGTAACAATAACTGCTGTGTTTCATGTGCTTAAATCATTTACAGCAGCCCAGGCTGCAGCTCTGCTCTGAAGGCTGGTGTGTGTGTGTGTGTGTGTGTGTGGGGGGGGGGGGGGGGGGGGGGGGGGGGGACCCTTTAGAACAACCAGGGAGGTTGTTATTTACAGACGTGAGACCTCTGTCTGTCTGAAGCACCGGAAACAAAACCATAAAAACAAGCCTGCAGCTTTACTTAAACTCTGAGGAAAGTTCTGGATGGATCCAGAATCAGAGAGAACTTCTCACTAATGTGATGTTAGTAGAATGTTTAACAGAACCAGCTCTGGTCCTGGTCCTGGTCCAGATCTCTGGTCTCCCACCCTGAAACAGCTCCAGAAAGGTCAAACCTCTCTTTGCCTTTCTCTAGAGCCTGTTTGGACCCTCTGAGTTTGCCGTAGCAGCTAGATAGTAATAATATTAATGTTGTGTCCTTGCATGGGCAAGACCTTGCCTTGCCTGCTGGTGGTGTTTGGAGGGACCGGTGGTGTCTGTGTACAGCTGCCCCGTCTCTGTCGGTGTGCCCCGGGGCAGCTGTGGCTACATTGTCAGCTCATCCCCACCAGCGTGTGAATGTGTGTGTGTGAATGGGTGAATGACTGATTGTGTTGTAAAGTGCCTTCAGGGGTCGTAGAAACCTAAGAAGGTGCTATACAGATACAGGCCATTTACTAATAATATACTGTGTTTGGATTTGTGAACCAACTGGACACACTGAATCACTTTCAAACCTCTAAACAGGAACAACATCAAAATGAACAAATGATAAAAGACAACCACAACAAAGCATTGTCATGGCAACATCTTGGCAGAATCCATGAGAGAGTTCTGAGATTCTGAAGTGGGTCCAGGTTTGGATGTTTTATGGAGGAGAATCCCTGATCCTGGACCAGATGGCTCATTGGTCAGAGGGATTCCCACTGAGTCACCGTTTGGCTCCTGGTTTGTGTTTGTTGTGGATTTTCCAGCTGGAAAGAAAAAGCAGCTGCAGCTGATCCAGGGTCAGCTCATATCTACATAAACAGATGCTCTGATTGGGACCTTGTCTGAAGATGTGGAAAGAAAAAGACTCAACATGAACGTATATCAAATACCCACGATGAGACACACACATGCATGTACGTACCACACACCTCACACACACACGCATGCAAGTGCACAGACACACATGCATGTGCACACACACACATGCACACCTCAGGCACACACACACACACACACACACACACACACACACACACACAACACATGCATACACACACTCATGTTTATGTTTGTTTATGTTTATTCATTTCGCAGACACTTTTATCCAAAGCAACTTACAATCTATAACCTATAGGGCATGTTGTGGTCTGTGGGGGAAACCAGAGTACCCCGAGGAAACCCACGCATGCATGGGGAGAACACGCAACTCCACGCAGAAAGGCCGCAGCCGAGTTTTGAACCTGCGACCTTCATGCTGCGAGGCAACAGTGCTAACCACTGCGTCACCATGCAGCCCGTCTCATGCACGCACGCCCACACAAAACTAAACACAACATGGATTAAAATAAATGTTCAAACTGAGTTTTTCTGATACATTTTAAAATGTTCAGAAGTTCCTTTTTTAATCTTCAGGCTGATTTTTTAGCTCTAAACACAATTATTGACAGATTAGATTTATTAATTCTTTAGGTAAATAAAACAATCATGAAGCCCCACCCCCTCAGATTAAACATCTTCTGTCCTGCATTAAGCCCGCCCCCCTATATGTTGAACATGATCATGACTGAAGAATCCATTCAGGTCTTTCCGTAAACTGGGTCTGAAGTCTTTATGAGATCCACACTCAGCTGAGTCTGATAACAGAACACCTGGTTCTGGTTCTGTTAAACACACCTGAGTCCTGAAGGTTCTCCTCAGACTCCACATTTGAACAAAGGTTCCCATTATGTAACCATCCTGCAGCAGGGGTGGTTTGATTCCTCTGTGGGTGGTGCAGGCGAGGCGGGTGGGGCCATCTGGAGCTCATTAAACCTCATGTGAGGAACGGATCAGACCTCCTCTGACTAGAAGCAGATGTGGATTCAGGAATGTGTGGTTTGGTGATTTCATGCTGCGGATCAGGGGTTACCCTACCCTTAGGGTTCTAGAGGAGAACATGAGCTGGGTTGTGGAGAAGGACCAGCTCAGGTTCTCATGAAGTCCAGGTCAGAGGTCCTTCTGTCTGCTTGATGGTTTTACTGGGACTCGAGCATGACGGACCTGTTGTTGACTGGTCTGAAGGGATGGGACATCAGAACAAGTTGTAGAACACAGCCAGAAGGTCTTGATCTGGCTGGTATTTCCATCATGCATTGCATGAACCCAGTTTAAACATTTCTGTTGTTCGGGGCATTTTACCGTCCAGATCTACCTGAACTCACTCGACTCTGGTCCCTCAGCCAATCAGATCTGAGCTGTCAGGACCAACTCTGGTTGGTGTTTTCCAGACGGATCCTGGTGGTTTGGATGGTTTCTGGTTGCAGTCTCCCTGGGGTCCCTGCCCTCTGGGGCAGCTCCTGGATTTCTGAGACTTGAGCTCCCTCCATCTCCTATGCATCTTTAGGGGCAGATCTGTGGCCCCTTATACTCTCTATTGGACACTCCTATAGAGAAACCATTACATATACAAGCGCGTGCTCACACACAGGTGCTCACATGGTCCTCTCGTTAGTATGGACTTGGGCACGTTCAACTCATGTCTTAAGGCTGTGGTTGGCTAATAAATGCACTGTGATTTATTGTTGTGTGATTGTTCTTTTGTTGTTGTTGTTTGTTTTTCTCTTTCTCCAGATCTGGAAGCAGACTCTTGTTCATCCTTGATTGTTTATTTTTTTGGACCCCCCCCCCCCCCCCCCCCCCACCCCTGCCTATTCCTTTCTCTTTCACCACTGTCTCCGTGTCTGGTCGAAATGATAAAGCGTTCAAAAACAATAACAATAAAGTTTTAAGTATCAGGCGTGACATTAAAAGCAGACGCTTCGATGCTCCACCTGAGAGTAAATCTGTGAGGCTTGTCACCAGCATTCGGACATTAATTCTGTTTGCTTCACAGCCAGACAGGACACGGGAGAAAAAAATATATATAATAATAATCCAGCAAACCCCAGAACATGAATGAGGATGATTCATCTCCTGGTTCTGACACAGTTCTGATTTGCAGCTGAACTTCGGGCCGTAAACAACACCTTTAATCATCCGGCCCAGATTCCTAATGCTCCCATTACTTCCCAACATCTGATGGGATAACCTGACAGCCACACTTCCTCGCGTTCCAGAGTTATGCAGATAAAACCTGCTTGTTTCCAGATCATAAAGCCTTGATTTGTTTCATCCTGGAGAATTATGGGAATTGTCCTCCACGCAGTCCAGCTGCTGATCTTCATCCTCGTCTTCAGTTCTACAAGATAAAGTAATATACGAGGTGTTGGTTCTCAGATTCCTCCTAAATCTCTCCACTGGATGTGAAGTCCAAACCTCTGACGGCTCTGCCAGCGCTCGGCGAGCTTCCCAACATCGATAAATCCTAGGAACCAGCCAGCAGCTCGACCCGCAAACGTGGGTTAAAGAAACATCAGCCCAGAACTCCAGATCCAGACTCAGCAGGAGGACTCCAGCTCTTTGGTCCCTGTCACAGGATGAAAACCCAGTCTGTGTACCGCTCAGAACCACGATTCTGTACTTTGTCCTTCAGACAGGACCTGATCATATAACCAGAAGATGTGAAAAATAACAGAAAAACTCAAAGCGGGTGTGTTTTTGTTCTGACTGATTTAATCAGAACCTCTTCATTCCTGTTTGTTTTCTGTTCCAGGAAGTTCAGGTCCATCAGTAGAAGCAGGGATGAACTCTAACCAGAACCTGGTCTTCATCAGAAGCATCTGGATTTCCAGGAGGAAACTTCTGATATCGTCTGATTAAAGCTCCTGGGATGAGAAGAGGATTTTGGACTCGATTATGGAGAACCTCCACCAGCAGAAGATTTCATAATAACTGTTTTTGATGGGTTTCATGCAGAGCTGAAGGTTCCAGACCTGACAGGGTGCCTGGTCTCCTGCTGTTTAAACATCTCCATCTGGACTGGGAGCAGGATAAATCCACGGATCTGCTCTGCCCCCAGAACCCGTCTGGGAGCTGGTGCTGATGATGGGTGGAACTGTTTCATGTTCCTGTGGTGGTTCTGAAGCCTGGGCCTGCTCAAACAGGAGACATCCATCAGACAGAGGTGGTTAAAGCGCCGCTGGGAAACATTTGTCTTCATTCTAACATCCGTCCTGAAGGAAGAGAGGCGGATCTGTGGATTAGACATCAGCCTCAGGGATTATCAAACCTTAGATCGTTGTGAGTTCTTCTCTCCTCATCTGTCATGGTGTGAGAGTGGTGTTTCCATGGAGACAGATGGATGGATCTGTCCCTCACTCATCCCTCTGA